TCCTGCTGGCCTCGGTCTCCCTGCAAGGCTGGCTGCTCCTACCCCAGAGCCTCTGTTAGTACATCTGAGCAATGGGACTGATGGTAGTTCCTGCTGTTTTGACAATTAAGGGAACACAGATGGCTTGGAGCCCTGGGCTTGGAGGGAAGGCTCATGGCCATGGTGGTGGAGGTCTGGGAAGGGTCCTGCCCATGACCTCCAAGAATTGACCAGAGGGATGGAGATGAGAATGGACCAAGGTCTCCTGGAAGGGAAGGAAACCAGAGGAATTCTTCCAGGCTTTTTCCCGGGGAATGGACATTTGCGCCCAGAAGTTTGGGAGCGGGATGGCGGGCAAGATAAGCCAGCAGGGGAGAAAGAGAAGGAGGGAGAGTGAGGCTGCTGGGCAGGTTCTAAGTGGGATATCTAGGAGACTCTTTTTTTTTGGCTGTGCCACTCTGCTTGCGGGATCTTAGTTCCCCGACCAAGGATCAAACCCAGGGCCCCTGCCCTGGAAACGCAGAGTCCTAACCACTGGACCGCCAGGGAATTCCCTCTAGGAAACTCATACCGACAAAGTATTTGTTATTTACCTGAAATTCAAATTTAACTGGGCAACCTGTATTTTGTCTGGCAAACCTAGCTGGGGTGCAAAGAGAGAATAAAGGGAAAAATGGGCATGATTTCTAGGTGGGGGGAGCCCAGGTACCCCCTTCCCCTCTCCCGCACCTGCCTCAGTGCCGTTATCTCCCGGATGTACCCCATCCCCACCCATTCCCCATACAGGCGCCGCCATGCCAGGGAGCAGCAGAGACCCCCCTCCCCCCGACCCCCGCCGGTTCCAGGATGGGTGCTATACTGCTTTCTGGGAATCTTCCTCCAGGACTCAGAGCCAGGCCCTGCTTCCAACCAGCCCCGCCCCCCCCAGCTCCCCGCCCCACCAGCAGCCTGGACTTCCCCTTCCCAACTCATTACTCATTAACTTGTGGTTAACCTTGACCTGATTAAACCCGTGCACTTGCCCTCTGGCTCCTTCCCTCCACCCCCTCACCCAGCATAGCAGAGGCCTGGGCACCAGGGACCCTTTTTTTGGGGGGCTGCGCAGCAGGGCTTGTGGGATCTTAGTTCCCCGACCAGGGAACGTGATCCATGGCCGCTGAGCCAAAAACAAAAAAAACAAAAAAAACACTGGAAAACAATACATTTATTATGCTGCAGTTCGCAGGGCAGAAGTCTGAAACTGAGGTGTCAGTAGGGCTGTGCTCCTTCTGGAGGCTCTAGGGGAGAATCCATTCCTGGGTTTTTCCAGCTTCTAGGGGCTGCCTAGTGGCAGCTAGTGGCCCCTTCTTCCATCTTCAAAGCACATCACAGGACACCGCAGTGAGAATGCAGAGTCCTAGCCACTGGACCACCAGGGAATTCCGGGCCAGAGTTTTTGACTGCAGCTCTGCCTTCTCCCAGCCTCGATTCCTCATCTGTAAATTAGACATTCACAACCATGGAACCTGCCTCTGAGTCTTGGGGTGAGAGCACGTGGCATCAGGCAAGCTGAGTCCAGTGCCCAGCACATGGCCAGCACACAATGTACTTGAATTTTATTTTTACTAACACCTGGTCCTCCTCTCTCTTGTCTTATTTCGGTGACAGTCCCTCAGGGCCTCCAAGCCAGAGTCCCCCCGCTTCCTCCCTCTCCCTCATCCATCCATCCGCTGTGAGCAGCCCTGTGACCCCTAGGCTGTCTCTCCCAACCCATCCTTTCTCTCCACCCCTAAGGCCCCGGCCTCCTTGCTGTAAACTCACCTCTTCCAGGTCATCTAGTCCACAGCAACTGGGAATTTTTTTTTTCTAAAACACACCTTTGCATTCTTTCTATAAAATTATGATGCATGATACAGGAATATGCGCTAATGACTGTGAACGTCTCAGCTACAGCATCTTAACGATTTTATGCATCTAACTTGTTTATTCCAAATGCCTTAGGTGCTGTTACTATTCCCGTTTTACAGATAAAGAAACTGAGGGCTTTGGCCACTTGCCCAAGATCCTCTAGCTGGTAAGAACTGAGATTTGAACCCGGCAGCTGGGCTCCAGAGTTTGTGCTCCTAAACCGTATGAGTTTCTGACTGCCGCTGTAACAGATGATCACAGCCCTGGTGACTTAAAACAATACATTTATTGGGCTTCCCTGGTGACAGAGTGGTTGAGAGTCTGCCTGCCAATGCAGGGGACACGGGTTTGTGCCCCAGTCCACATGCCGCGGAGCGGCTGGGCCCGTGATCCATGCCGCTGAGCCAAAAAAAAAAACCAAAAAACACTGGAAAACAATACATTTATTATGCTGCAGTTCTGTAGGGCAGAAGTCTGAAACTGAGGTGTCAGTAGGGCTGTGTTCCTTCTGGAGGCTCTAGGGGAGAATCCGTTCCTGGATTTTTCCAGCTTCTAGGGGCTGCCTACATTCCTTGGCCAGTGGCCCCTTCTCCCATCTTCAAAGCACATCACACTAGCCTGTTTACAGCATCACATCTCATTCTCTGATCCTGACCCTCCCACCTCCTTCTTTTTTTTTTGCTGTACGCCGGGCCTCTCACTGTTGTGGCCTCTCCCATTGCGGAGCACAGGCTCCGTGGCATGTGGGATCTCCCCAGACTGGGGCACGAACCCGTGTCCCCTGCATCAGCAGGCGGACTCTCAACCACTGTGCCAGCAGGGAAGCCCCCGCCTCCCTCTTAAAAGGACCCTTGTAATGACGCACCCACTCGAATAATCCAGAATCACCCCTCATTCTAAGATCCTTAATTGAATCTCAACTGCCAAGTGCCTCTTGTCATGTAAGGGAACAGGCTCTGGGGATTAGGGCGGGGACAACTTGGGAGAACCATGACTCTGCCCACCCCAGCATGCACATGGTGTAAAACACCATCCCTGTACTACCACGTCCCGCCCTGCTTTAAACTCTTCCTTGGCTCCCGTGGGCCCCAGAATCAAGTCCAAGTGTGTCTGCCTGCTTTTAGGCTTCTGCCAGCTGCTGTTGCCCTCCCACTGGCCAAGCCAGACCTGCAGTGGAGCTTGCAAGCTATTCTGGGCATTGCTTTGCTGCATAATTTCCTCAGTCTGCAATGCCTTCCCACTTCCTTCTTTGTCTGGCCGGGCTATATATTCATCTGGGCCCTAGTTAGACACATTTCCGCTTGCAGGAAGCCTTGACCCCAGCCTGATTCCCTCCCCCTGGCCCATGCCTGCGGTCCCCACCAAGGAGTATTTTTCAGAGCTCCAAAATAGGTTCGGAGCGTTCTAGTTAAAGAGTGAAGCGGGGCGGGGGAAGAAATGCATCATGGCGGTCTGCCCACAGGTGTGTGTGCAGGTGTGTGACCAGGTGCATCTCTAATCGGAACTCCTCAAGGTTCAGAGAAATCCATGAAAGGTCAGGCTGTGCTGCAGGGCACTGTGCTGAGCCAGACTCCCATTATCATGTGTGATACTCAACTCTATGGGGTCCCCATTTTACATGCAAGGAAACAGAGAGGTTAAACCACTTAACAGAGTCACACAGCAAATGGGGGCAAGGTCAAGAGGCTTGGTGGCAGGGAGTCTAGGTGCAGAGGGGCAGTGCACGCAGTGGGAATGGGCAGCTCCGGAACCAGACTGCTGGTGTTTTTGAGTCCTGAGCCTTCTAACAACTTGTTTGCTGTGTTATCTTGGGCAAGTTACATAGCCTTTCTGTGCCTCATAAGCTTTTCAAGAGTTAAAGACCCTGGAAGCCTTAGAATAGGGTGTGGCATACAGCACTCAGCCTGAGCCACTTGTGAGTCACCCAATCACCATTTTTTTCTCCCCTCCAGCCTTTGCACACGCTGTCCCCTCATCTGGGCCTGCGTCTTTCCCCACTCTCTCTGCTCACCTCTGATTCCCCAGGCTGGGTCAGGGCCCTGTGACGGAACCGTCTGGTGACACCTTGAGTGTTGGGACCGGATGGGTCCTGGTCACTGCTCTGTCTTCAGGACCCGGCACAGGGCCCGGCATGCAGTGGTCGCTCAATTAACATTTATTGAATGTGCAAAGCAATGGATACTGCAACCTCTCCCCGCCCCGTGCCCCCCACGGATCTCTCAATTTCAAACATAACGCCTGCATTAGCTCTCAACCCCCAGAAAGGCAAGAAACTGGGGTAGCAAAACAGATCGGTTATTATTATACAGTTGCAAGTGGGGACAGGGTGCTCAACATCTGTGAGGGAGGGGGGCTGCCTGTCTTCTTCCGAACGGGCTCCAGGAACACAGGTCCCAGGGAGCTGGTGCCTTGTGAGCACTGGCCCCCTCCTCCCCACATGCTCTTTGGGAGAAGCCGGAGCAGGGAATGTGTGAAGAGAGGGGGATGAGGAGGGATGAAGGAGTGTCCGAGGCAGGGACATGATCACAACAGCTCTCGCCCGCTGGTCGTTTTGTTGACTTTGGACAGGCCTTCCCGGAACCCAGAATCGGTCATTCTGCAGGAAGACAGACAGTTGAGGAGATAGTCCCTGAGCCGAGGGGAGCCAGGCCCCGCCCACTCAGCCCACCACACCTACCCCAGAGCCTCTTGGCCCCGCCCAGGCTCCACCCCCCTGCCCCGCAGCCCCGCCCACCCAGCCTCTTGCTGCCCAAGCCCCACCCAACCCAGCCGAGGGCTCACACTTGCTTCATCTGCACATCCTCCTCGTCCTCCTGGGGCAGCTGCAGGTACGGGTTATCCCTTGTGGGCTGGAACTTGTAGCCCGTGAGCACGAAGAAGGCCAGAGTGGAGCCCTCCACCAAGAGCTGGGGGCCGACGGGGCAGAGTGGGAGTGTCAGGCACACACCCCCACCTCCACCACCACTGTGTGGGCCACCCTCCACCCCACCTGGGGCCTCAGTGCTCACCTGGTACAGCCACTGCCACTGGAAAGGCACGGCCACCCGCAGCAGGATGGCGATGATCCGTGTGAAGTAGATGTAGCAGATGACCTGCAGGGACACGGGTGGGCAGAGGGCTGAGGGACCACTGGGGATGCCTGGGGAGGGGGGCCGGGGATTATGGGCAGAGGGCAGGGGGGCGGGGCTCCGAGGGACTGCAGATGGAGGGGTTAGGGTGGGTGTGCCAATGGGCTGGTTGTTCCCCCTCCCAAACTTCCCGAGTGAGCACAGGGCTCGTACCATGACATAGTAATGCCGGAACAGCTTCAGCTTGGCCAGGTTCACTGCCACTGAGGGGTAGGCACAGAGAGTGGGGGTCAAGGGAAGGAGGCAGGGGGCAGGACGAAGGGGACAGGGGTGGAGAATGGCTGGGGACAGGAGGACATTTGGGTGAGTGTCTCAGGGGCATAGTGCGGAGGGGGATGTCCCAGGATGGTGAGGGGGTGGAGAGGCAGGAAGAGGCAGTCAGAGGGGATGGAAGGGGCATCCAGGGGTCAGCAAGAGTGACCAGGAGCAGGCCGAGGGCCGAGGGCACAGCTCACCCTTCCCATCAGTGCCAGACGTGTCCTGGAGATGCCGGATGGACCTGGGAACGAGTGGGTGATGTGGGGGGCAGTCAGCACTGCCTCCACCCGTGCCTGCAGGGGAGGGGGTTGGGTGGGGGTCCTCACCAGACCACGGGGAAGAGGATGGCACCGCAGCAGATGAGGTCCACCAGAAAAAGGATCTCCTTCCAGAGGCCGTAGTCGCTGGTGCCCTCCTCACGGGACTCGATGACAATGTAGGCCACGTTGGCCAGGACCTGCGGGGCGGGGGTGGGGTGGGTGGGCCCAGCCTGCACTCATGCCCACCTGCCCACCCTGGGGCCGCCAAGTGCACCTGCAGCGAGACCACGATCCCGAAGACCTGCTTCTCCTTGTCGGACAGGATGCGCCTGACGAAGGCCCAGCCAGAGCCGATCAAGGCGATGGTGATGAAGAGGAGGGCGCCCTTCAGCCTGGCGGAAGCGGGCAGGGGCTGTGGCGAGACTCGGGGGCCCAGCCCGCCCACGCCCGCCTCCTGCCCCCGGCAGAGAAGGGCACTCACAGGTGCGTGACGTAGTGCATGACAGCAAGGCCTTCGATGGGGCGGCCCTGGCTGTTGATGAAATAGTAGTTGATCTGGAGGTGGATGGACGGACGGACAGTCAGACAGATGGACGGGAGGATGGAGATGGTGGTGGTTTGGGAACACCGACAGTCACTGTCGGTGGGTGGCCAGGAAGTGGGCTGAACAGAAGGTCATGATCAGGATGGTGAGTGGACTGAGAAAGGGACAGTCACAGCCAGAACGGCGGCTGGACAGATGGCTGGACAGTCACGGCCGTGACAATGGAGGGAAGGTCATAGTCGGGTGGATGGACAGTTAGACAATCAGCCCAGTGGACACTCACAGCTGGACCCACAGACAGCCAGACTGAAAGGTGGGCGGTCACAGCTGGACAGGACTGGATGCACAGCTGGCCACGGTGATAAAATGGATGGACATATGTATGGACAAATGGAACTCCCAAGCCCAGGGTCTGCAGAGACTTGAGGAGTGGCTTCTAGGGGCTTTTTCCTGGCCCCTGACACCCCAGCCCACCCCATCCTGCTCCCGGCCCAAGGCTCTCACACTGTGGAAGAGGAGAGAGACGCTCTTGGTGAAAGCCAGGGCTGCCATGAGCCAGTGGATCTTGAAGACGTTGTACCTGGCAGCGGGGTCGGGGACAGAAGAGAGTGGGAGGGCATCAGTCAGGGGTAGGAGTGGGAAGGTGTGATGAGGGGAGGTGGGGAACCCCCAGGGGCAAAGGCATTACGTGTTCTTGCAGAGGATTGACACCCAGAAGATGCCGGAGGCCAGGAAGCAGGCGGACATGACCATGTACAGCTTGAAGAGGGGGATTTCCGCCGCCGACAGGAAGCCCTCGGGGTTCTTCTCCCGGATCATTACCTGGGGAGGGGACAGAGGTGGGCAGGGGGATCGCACACTAGCTCCAGACTTGCGGGGCCCTGATTTCCGAGCCTCGGTCTTCCCGTCTCCCTAATGGGCACGGAGTACCTGGCCTGCAGTGAGCGCTCCGCGAACCTGCTGCCCACCCTCCTCACCCCTGCTCACCGTGATGTCGAACGGCTGCTCCCGGCCCGGCACCGAGTTGTAGCAGTTGTGGAAGTTGAGGTTGTACTGGCCTTCCTCGGCCCTAGAGCCGATCACCACATGGAACTGGGAGGTGGGGCAGACAGAGGGGAGAGGAGGCCTCAGCGTGGGTGGTCCCCGCTCTGTGGAGGGGAGGGGCTGCAGGCACCCCCGGACACTCACACTGAAATTGTAGGAGTTGTTGAGATGGCCCAGGCCCAACACCAGGTCCTGGTCCTTTCCACCAATGCCCTGAGGGGACAGAGGACCTCCATGGAGCATCAGCCGGCCCCCCCTGGGGCCGGGGCTTCCTCCCTCCTGCCCTGGCTTCCCCATACCTGCTGGTCGGCTTGTGACCCTGTGGGTTTCAACGTGGCCTTGTCGGGTGCAGTAGTGGTCCCTGCCAGGGGCAAGCAGGTGAATTTAGAGATAGACAGACAGCAGAATGATGGGCGGGACGTGTGGAGCGGCCCTGCCCGCCCGCCCCTCCATGCCCGCACGGCCACCCTGACTCACCGCCATCCACCTTGGGGCTGACCATGTGCTCTGACTTCGGGAGCTCTGGTTCGGAGGGCGCTTCGGGGAGGAGCCCGGGAGAGATGAACAGCTTCTTCTGTTCCCCATACTTTTGAACCTGGACCCTGTGGGATGAGGCTGGGAGGCTGAAGGCTGGGGTCAGGCACACCTGCTCTGCTGAGGGACTCAATGGCCCCTTGGGCCCTCTGGGGCTCAGCGTCGGGCTCCATCAGTGGTCACCAAGTTGCAGCATTTGGCCACCACCCATCGAGATGGCTGCTGCATCCCTGAGCTGCCTGCACCGAGGATTAGTTGTCACTTCCTGTGACATTAAGTCACTCATTCTACTGAAGTACACACTATTTAAAAAGAAAATGCTGTATATACAGAGAAGCAACAGAGTATCTTTGGACCCTGGGTTCAAATCCCAGTTTTCAGCCTCAGTTTTTTCATCTTTAGAATGGGGATAATAACAGTGTAAGCAGTCAATGAGTTAACACCTGTAAAGATCCCAGGACGCTGCCTGGCGCACAGGGTGCATCCTACAAGCACAAATGACTTGTATTAATTCTCACAACACCCCTCTGTGTTAGGTCTTCTGCCTTGAGACCCTAATACTCCCTGGGCACTCCTCCCCTCTCTCCCTCCCATAATCAGAAGTCTTGAAGGCAACATTAAAAAGCGAGTGACGGGAATTCCCTGGCGGTCCAGTGGTTATGATTCGGTGCTTTCACTGCCGAGGGCCCGGGTTAAACCCCTGGTCTGGGAACTAAGATCCCACAAGCCGCGTGGCGCAGCCAAAAAAAAAAAGCGAGTGGCTTTCTCCAAAGGAGTCAAGGTTCTTTCTGGCTGGTTCTGATTCCACCTGATCAGCTCATGTGGGTAGCACAACCAGGGAAACCCCAATGATGGATCTTAACGGAGCCACCAGCCCTCCAACTCACTGCAGATCCTTGGTGTTGATGAGGAAGACAGCCAGGAGATTGCTACTGTTTTTCCGGAGAGGACAGTCGTGAGGGTCCCGGCTCTGGAGAGTGGGCAGCAGGCAGCCTTGGTCACCCCCTCCCACTGGTCCAGCCTCACTCTGCCTTCCTCCCCATCCACCCAGGCAAGGGAGGGTCTCTCCCTGCTCCCCGCTCTGGGAAAGGACAGGGACCTTTGGGTTCCAGATGATGACAGACCATCCTCCCCTTCCACCACCCCTGCCCCTCCTCACTCCCCACCTCCCCACCTCCACCTCTGCCCCCTCCACTCACTGAATAGGAAGGAACACTGCCAGATCGAACCCGGGTCAGACTGAACCCCACCTGGCAAGAAAAAGAGATGATGTGAGGGACACCAGCAGGGACCTCCAAGCCACCTCTATCAGTGGCAATAGTAACGTAACCTCGAATTTCCTGAAAGCCTACTAAGCGTGAGATTCCGTGTTCACTCACTTCACTGACTTTTCCCATCTGCCCCCAGCCCCCCAACCCTCTTCCTTTAACTCCTAACCATCCTTGCCCCTTGACTGGGATGTCACTTCCTCAGGGAGACCTTCGCTGGTCCTCGACCTAGCCCACCCTGTTTCCCCCCATTTAAAATGCTGATGTAAAAAATAAGTTAAATAGAATGTTCATGGCTCCCTGCCTTGGGCTCTGGAAGCCAACACACTTGGATCTACATCCAGGCTCTTGGACTCTGAGTAAGCCACATGCCTCTGAGTCTGTGTAAACACCTGTAAAATTGGGTTTACAGGTGTAATATTTTCACAGCATCCCTGAGAGGTGGCTATGACAGAACAGACTCATGGAAATAGATTTGCATGGTACCTGGTACCCAGCGGGCGTTCAATAAACACTAACTTTTCATTTCGACTGCAGGAACTGGGGCTGTCTTGTTCACTGGTAGGCTCCCCTCCCCCCAGCTCAGTGCCTAGCACGTACTGCATGAGAAATTATTATTCCCAAGTAACAGATGAGGAAACAGAGGCTCAGAGAGATCAAGGGACTTGCCCAAGATCACATGGGTGAGAGGCAGAGCTAGGATGTGAATCCAGAATTGGGGCGGGGGGAGGGGGGCGGAGCTCAGAAACTTGTGCACCTCTCCCTCCTCCAGCAAACTCCTCAAAGCCCCTCACCAATGGGGCTTTCTCATCTGTCTCCTGGAGGCCCAGCCGCAGGAGGCTCAGGTCCACCTCCAGAGAGCCGTTGGTGTAGAAGCCAAAGCTGTTCAGCTGGATGTCTGCTCGCTTCTCCCCCTGCCAGAGACCAAGAAGGCAGAGGCAGCTCAGACTTCCCACCAGCCCAGCCCCAGGGCTCTAGCATGAGGTTCCCCCAAGGGCTTCGGGCCCCTCTGGGTATCTCTATATTTAGGACAGGTCCAAAGGGTGACGGGAGAGGTTGAGAGGGCCAGCTCTGGAGGCCATAACCTTAGACCAATTCCAGGCAGGGACAGGGTGGCTCCGGATCCTCTGGCCACTGTTCGGAGAGTCCAGGATTCGACAGTCTGGGATACCTGGAAGTCTCCCTATCGGGTGAGCATCACCCGAAGAGCAGAGTTACGCATCTTGGGGTGCCTGGCCCTCACCTCCCGGAAAATGTTTAGATTCCAACTGAGCCCCCAAGATCCCAGTAAGTACCCAGAGGACCCTATTCTAGAACACCCAGGGACTTCCCTGGGTGGCGTCAAGGGTCCCTAGCGTCCCCAAAGCAATCCCAAGAATTTAGAGGACTCTGAGTCCGCCGTCTCCGGAGATGAACGCCCCCCCCCGCGGTGGGCGGGGCACGACTACAGCAAGGCTGGCCAGGCAACTCCAACAGGAGGACCGAGGGGGAATCCTCGGACGAGACCACTCCGGACCTGGAAGCGGGGGGCGCCGGACCGCTCCATCCGGACGAAACCACTCCAAGCCAGGGGCTTTTCCGGGCCAAAGCTGCGACCCACACCCCAGACCGCCGCGAGGCGGGACTCACCGTCAGCGTCAGCCGGTGGATGCGCCCAGAGCAACCGCCTAACAGCAGCAGCAGAAGTAGCCGCTGCCCCCACTCCGCGGGGCTCCCGCGGGCGAGCCCCCTCCTCTCGCTCACTGCCATCTCTGAAGCCAGCGCCTCCCCCGACACCGCCTCTGACGGCCCTCAAGCCCGCCAATCGCCGCACGGTGGGGGCCGACCCTTCAGCTTTTTTCAGCCCACTCAACCAATCAGTAATCGCCTCCTCTCGAGCCCGCACCCTGTACGACACCAAATGGACAGCCCGAGCCCCGAATGGGAGTGCCGATATCGCTTAACCCCGCCTCCACGCTCACCAATCACTAGAAAGATTGTCCCCGGATGTACTCCGATAAACAGTCCATCCAACCAATTGTGATGGATCTGATATCCGGCCCCTAAAGGGGAATTTTTCCATCCACTCTTAACTGACAGACCCATTCAGAACTACATTACCCAGAACGCAGGGGGAGCAAACAGCTCAAGGGGACGTTCAATAAACTACACTTCCCAGTATCCCTAAGGACGGACGTCCCCTTTGTTACCCCGGGGATGTGGCTCCCAGCCAAAGCTCAGGCTTTTGGTAAACACATGAATTTGCTAAAGCCTGTCCTGTTCTCCTAATCTTCCTGATCCACCGAGAGGCCAAAACCTGGCCCCAAGCTAAATCTTGACCCTACGATGACCCATGATCCCAGGCTGAGTCACCAGCCTTAGGGGGACCCTTCTGTCCTGGAGTGAGGCATCTGGAGGCCCATCCCCAGATCCCAGGCTGGTCTTGAGTCAGGCTGAATCCCGGCCCCAGCCTGAGCCCCCTACCTGCAGCTGAGCCCCGACCTCCGCCGAAACTTAGACTCCCCGACCCCCTACTACCCTCAGCCTATACTGAGCCTTAATCTCTGGCTGAGCTTCCACCTGGACTGACCTCAGATTAGGACTGACCCCTGACCTCAGATTAGGACTGACCTGTGGACCTTAGTTTGAGTCCCAGGCCTTCGACTGGGTGGCTGACCCCTCTGCTAAGCCTCCTATCCCAGTCAGACTCCATCCCAACTGTGGTGCCGACCTGGGATGAATCCCAACTTCATTTAGAGGCTGAGACCCTACTCCCAGGCTGAGCCACCGAGTTCCAGACCCCAGGCTGAATTCCTGATTCGACCTGATCCTCTAACCTCCGGAGCACGTCTACTTTGTAATTTGAAGTTTTCTAACTCAGAAGCCACCAGCAGGTGGGGCCAGGTCCTCGCAGAGCCATCTGTCCCAGTGTGCGCTCCCGGAGCGATCCTCCTGGGCTCCTCGGTTTTGTGTACTGGGAGCCTGCGGGCTCAGAGCCTAACTTGTCCCGGGGGTCCCGGAGCCCCCAGCTCCAGCAGGGCGACTGTCACCTCTGTAGCCAAAGAGAAAGCACCAAAAGAGGGAGAGGATGAAGGAGGTTGCTGCTAGGATCTCTCCCCTTTCATCCCAGTGCCTCAAAGGGATTAACAACGTGTGAACAGACTTTTATGACAGGGACGACAGACTTCCAAGCCCCAGGGTTCTAGGGGCGGCGGGGGTGGAGTCGGAATCCCAGGGTCGGTGCAGACAATTAAAACTGATTGTGCCTTAATGGATGCAACTGGAAAATGGGCAGGTGCAGGCTCGAACTGGACGGGAGCCGGGGAAAGGCCTGGGCCCGGCGCCCCAAGGACAGTTCGTCCTTAGTTTCCAGGCGCAGATTTGGGGAAGGAGGCAGGATGCGGTGGGGGCGCTAATGGACCAGGCCTTGGTGGAGGCGCGTCCTGGACAGGATCGAAGTCCTCCCATCCGCCCTGTGGCCGGAGGGACCAGACCATTAGTGGGACGAACGTAGACGTCTGGAGCCGGGCCGGCCCGCAAGAGCGAGGTGACCTCAAGTTCTCCCTGCGATGGGGTGGGGGAAGAACCTCTTGGGTTGGGGTTTGGCCCTTTAATGAATGGTTGAAAGGAAAAAGGAAAGGAAAAACAATCCAGGGCGGGTTAGGTGTGGGGAGGACAAGAGAGTCCTAAGGGATTTGGAAAATGGGTGGGGGTCCTTTAAGGAGTCTGTCCAGTGGCTTCGGGCGGCAACGTTCCTTTAAGAGGGGGCGGGGCGTCTGTGGGCCCCGCCTCCTGGGGTGTGCCTCACCTTTAGGGGGCGGCGCCGGAGCTCCGCGCGGGCGGGGGCGTGGCAGAGCCTATGGGGCGTGGCAGAGCCTGGAGTGGGCGGGGCATTAACGGGGCGGGGCCGGGCTCAGCGCCCTGGCTGAGTCTCCCGGCGGCGGGCGGTGGGGACCGGGGGCGGCGGCGGCGGTGGCATCGGCGGGGGGAGGGGGGGGTGG